GAAATTTAAGCCACCTTGTTACTGAATATGGCTAAGCCAGTATATGTGTTTATTCATAAGACCTCCCCATAAATTTTGTTTGCTCTACGAGGGTTAATGATAATCTGCATGAGCGGGTAGATTGTTTTGTTCATGTTGACTATGATAAACTGCCTTTTGTCGGTGTCGATGGTCAGTTTGTTTGAAATAAGCCAGGTGTTAATGGTCACAAGCTCTTTGTTTATTCTCCTTATTAAACTATCAATATTTCTTTCAGAGAGGTATACGGTGCAGTCATATGCAAATAAGATGGAACGTAAGGTGGAGTATGCTCTAGACATACCCTTAATATATAGAATGAAAAGCAGTGGCCCGAGGATAGAGCCTTGAGGAACCCCCTATTTGACCGGAAGGAGATATGAATATTTGCCATTCATATAAACACACTGCATTCTGTTTGTCATATAAGAGTGAAACCATTGGTGTGATTGGACGCGATAGACATAATGGTCGAGTTTGTCTAAAAAAAATTGATGATTAACTATGTCAAAGGCTAAATGATGGTGATGATGATGGTGATGATGATGATGATGATGATGATGATGATGATGATGATGATGATGATGATGATGATGATGATGATGATGATGATGATGATGATGGTGGTGGTGATGATGATGATGATGATGATAACAATAATCATGGTAATAATAATGATAATGCTAATGATAACAATACTAATAATAACAAAAATGATGCTGGATGATGATGATAATGATAATAACAACGATACTACTACCACTACTAATGAAATCAATGATAATGATGGTAATGATTATGGTAATAATGATAATTTTAATGACAATGATAACGATAATGTCAATGATGATAATAGTGATAATAATGATAATGATAATGATAATAATAATAATAATGTCAGTAGTAGTAGTAATGATAATAATAATGATGATGACAAAAAATAGTAATAATAATAGTAATCATCATAATACCAATAATGATAAAAATGGTAATGATTGTAATGATAATATTGATAATAATTATGATAAATGATAATATTGATAATAAGTAGGATAAATGATGATGACAGTAATGATAAAAAGAAAAAATAATAATGATAATAATAATGATGATGATAATAATAATGATAATAATAATAATAATAATAATAATGATAATAATAATGATAATAATAATAATAATAATAATAATAATAATAATAATAATAATAATAATAATAATAATAATAATAATAATAATAATAATAATAATGATAATAATAATACTATTCATAATACTATTCATAATAATTTTCATAATAATATTCATAATAATAATAATAATAATAATAATAATAATAATAATAATAATGATAAGAATAACAATTATATCAATAATATCGATAACAATGATCATGATCATAGTCATTATTATTATCATTCATTATTATGATAACAACAACAACAACAACAACAACAACAGCAACAACGAAACAACAAAAGAATAATAATAATAATAATGATAATAGAAATGATAGCAATAAGGATAATGACAGTGACAACAACAATAATAACAAAAGCAACAACATTATTAACAAAAAATAACAATATCATTACAGGCGAGTTCGTGACAGCCTTCAAGAATGGCAAATTCACGCACCTAAACAACGCACAGCACATGACAATGTACTTCTTCTTCGGGCTCAATGGAGTCATGGATTTGGCACTACACTACCGTCTGCCAGTGCCTCCTGATGTCGATTACGTGTCTGCCGTGTTGGCTTTTATGGCTGAGGGGGTGCTGTTCTATTATCATTTACATGGACGCACGCATATGGATATACAAGTGAGTTGGGAGAGGGTGAGAGACGGAGGGTGAAGGAGGAGGGAATGAAGGGAAGGGAAGGAGGGAATGAAGGAAGGAAAGAGATAGATAGATAGATAGATAGATAGATAAAGAGAGAGAGAGAGAGAGAGAGAGAGAGAGAGAGAGAGAGAGAGAGAGAGAGAGAGAGAGAGAGAGAGAGAGAGAGAGAGAGAGAATTTCATGGATATCCATGCAAATTATGTCCTTACAAGAGAAAAAAATAGTATAGGTAGATGCCAAGGCATTAAATACTACTACTAATGGCAATAATAAGTATGATAATAATGATGATGATAATAATAATAATGATGATTATAATGATATCTACCAAGGAAATGATTAAAAATGACCCCTATGACCCTGTCTTCTATTTCCAGGTACACATGTTCCTGTTCTATTTGATCTCATGCTGTGCTGTCTCCACCATCGCCGAAATGTGTCGAAAATCCAGTGTTCTGCCTGCCCTATGTCGGGCGTTTTTCACTCTGTACCAGGTATTACGATAACAAAAAAGTTATGCATAATCGTTTTTCTTCCATTATGTAAATTAACATTAATTAAAAGAATAAATGAAAATAACCTTAGTCATAAACATCATGTGATTGAACACGTTATAAATGAACTGATAAGGAATCCA